ACTATTTCCCCCTAAACCCTAAACCCTAAACCCTAAACCCTAAACCCTAGCCAGGCGGGAGGGAAAAATACTAAGGGAAATTAAACCCTAGTAGCCTGAACACCCATCCGCTGAAACACAGAGCACCGAAGCAACGATCCTGAAGGGTCATGACCTTAGTACCCTGTTCCCACTGCCACTGCCACTACTACTACTACTACTACTACTACTACTTCTACTCCGGCTACTACTACTACTACTACTACTACTACTACTACTACTACTACTGTAGCAAACGTGATCATGGCAAAGATGTTTCCGGTTATTGTATAGGGTTGTGTAGGGCTATTTTACCGTTGTTCGCGATGAAACGGCTGTGGCTGTGGTCATTGCTACGTATGTGGCCATTAGTGCCACGTGTAACCTTGCGGTTTAAGACTTGATGGAGATCAGGCCATCAGCAAGCTCGAGCGGCTGGGATATCCCCGTTTCCGTGGCAGCACTTATCTTCTCATGGGCTGGGTGGGCAACCTTGGCAACCTTGCATCAAAATTGTGGTACATTGTACACATGTCTACAGTAATCAAGGAAGAACACTGCTAGGTTGTCCAAGGGCGCAGAGGCAAAAAAACCGGGAAATCCCGAAATCTACACCCTAAGCCGTATCACTTCAAGCTTTCATCTGGCAAGTCCGAGTTGTGAGCGCAGAAGCTGTATCATTCTCTGGTGCTGCCCGGCAGGCCCAGTAAAGGGTCTTCATCGAGAAAGCTAAAAGAAAGCTACCCACCAAGTCAGGCCCCCGCCCCCCCTAGCCTCGTCTGAAACTCTATGCCCAACTCCCTCGATGCAAACACAGCGATGCCAGGCGAGGAGATCGTGCGGCAACTCAAGGATCCCCAGTCCCACCTTTGCAGCTCGACAAAAAAGGGGTGTCTTCCTCGCTTTCTGTTTCGTTCGGAGGAGAGGGCTTGGGTTGGTAAGGTTCGGCAGTTGCTACGGCATGTAGTGGGAGGGCGATTCGGCTAGAAGCGCATGTCAGCGAGGTGTTGCATGGGGGCGCGTGGTGCAGGGTCAAGCGGGCATAGCAGATGGAGCTAGTTGCGGGTACATGCCAACTCCGAATACTTTCAGCGTTGCGACCCCAAGCCCGAAACCCCAGACTAAACTCGAATACAACCAATGGAACCTTTTTGCAGACGGGCTCCGGTTCTTTGGGCCATTGGCTTTGCTTTCGAAATGCAAGTTCAGCTAAAGCCAGACGCCGAGCCCAAAGCCTGGTAAGCGTTACCCAAGCTCACCTAGGCCCTAGGCCCATCGTTTAGGGTTTAAGGTTTAGGGTTTTCCGCACATGTCCCCTAAACATGGCTCCCGGCTGATTGGAGAGAGCTCCGGGTTCAAAAAAAAAAGTTTAGGGTTTTGGGTCTAAGAAATTCATTTTCGAGAGATACCCCCGGGTTTCTTTGAAGCTCTGGGACTGCACCAAGGCAAGCTTTACCACCGCTTTCTCAAAGCCCTGACGGCATGGGATAGCCGGAAATGAGTGCAGCTGAAGCACATCCCATGATCAGGATTGATGCTAGGTTCCAAGCCCAAACCTCACACCAAACAGGGTTGAACCTGTTCCCGCTGCATCCGCGAGATAGGCTTGGACCCAGAACATGCACCTCGGACTGTAAGTCAGTGAGTGTGTGTGGGTCGCAATGGTCGCAGTCCTTCCTTCAGTCGAAAACCTTGCCACTCCCACGTTTGCTAAATCCTCGAAACCATAAAGTCCGCAATTCCCCAAAATCCTCATTCCTTGAAGTTGAATGGTCTCGAGGTCTTTGCTTGCTGAACAAAACTCCAGGCTAGTCGAGTGCCACGTGCTAACTCTTTGAGTATATGAGGCTCAAAGGGGCTGCCTGGACCCTAAGGGTTCGAGCCTCCGTCTTCTTCGGGTACAGATGACATGATAAGAAACAGGCTCCATGGGGCCCAGGTTGGGTTTTGACTGCTCTGTGGGTTGGTCCAGCAATCGAGCCCAAGTGTGCTCTTAGCGCCCACCTTCAAAAGCATGAAGATTTCGAGGCTCAGCAAGCGTAACCTAGGAAAAGGGCTCTTCCGAAGCATCCTTAGCCTTAAACCCAGCCAATGAACCCTTGCTCGAATTTGCACCCGTTTGAGAGCGACGACTACATCTGTGCGATAGGAGCAGACGTCCCGCTATTAGAGAGCATTCGAGGTTCTAGCCTTGCGGTTTCGGTTTGAGTAGGGATCTCGGTTTCTGTTGATAAATGTGGAGGATGAACCTGCCTTTGCCGAGTAGGCAAGGCGAAGATGTGAAGTGCCTCATGCTGCTTCCCAGCCAAATCCAGTCCAGCCGCACGGGCACCAGCTGCGTTTACGCCAGAAAACTACACCACAAACCCTAAACTTAATTTCGGGTTTAGGGTTTTGGGCCCTAAATAAACTAACCTAAAGCTCTAAATGCCGAAGCTTCGAGAGCTTTCAAACGGCGAGAAGCCTTTCTCGTTCGGCCTGGAGACTCTACCTGAAAGCCTGAAGCCCTTAAACCCTAAAACCCCCTAAACGCTTAAACTCTCTTGAAACCCTAAGACCCTAAAGTCAGGCCCCAAAGCCCTTAACGCCTACACCCTACATCCTGAAACCCGGCTAACAAGCCCAACTTCGCCCTCGGGTTTAGGGTTGCTGATTGGCAGAGTCTGGGTTCAAAAAAAGGGTTTAGGGTTCAGGATGGCATGTTAGGTGGGTATTGGGCTTACACGTTGTAGACACGAGGCGTACTCGCGTTAGTTTATGCTGAGCATCAATACACCCCTAGAATGTTCCAGCACACGCACACACACACACAGATATATATATATATATATGTATGTATACATATATAGATATAGATATACACATGTATATGTGTATATTTATATACGCACATGACATCAACATATTTATGTCAATGCTGGTAATCCTGATTCTTCACTGCCCTAGCCGATTGGAGGCATTATGCGAGTCTCGGGCTCCCATCGTTTCGGATGCCGTGAGCTGCGAACTGAACATAAGGATTTGGGGTTTAGGGTTTAATTAGGGCTTAGGGCTTGGGGTTTAGGGTTTAATTAGGGCTTAGGGTTTAGGGTGTAGGGTTTAGGGTTTGGGGTTTGGGGTTTGGGGTTTGGGTAGGTTCTCAGAATTCAGGGCCCCTTAGTTTTAACGGGGGGTCCCTGCAGCACAGGTCCCACCAATCAGGCTTTTTATGATAGCATGTATTCCCACACAGAAAAAATCATGGTCATCAGAGTCGGTCAATGCTGGGCCCGTGTGAACGGCGAGCCACTTGCCCGATGTTTGTAGGTGACTTGCAGTTTCGCGCAGCACGGGGAGTATCATTACTTTCTAAAGCCTTAAGGATGTGCATGAACAATTCAGGGGCTGTTGGCCTTGGGGGGGTACCGATATGTAAACTCGCGTGCTGCCGAAACCATACAGCCGACAGCCCTTGGCTAAGGCTTACAAGCCTTCAAACGACGTACTGCCCAAATGCATTTAAGGCACTTAGATCCACGTGTGAAATCCATCGTCCTTTCTCAGCCCTGTGTTTTTCAGACAGTCACCTTCGAAGCGCTGCAGCAACACCGCCGAAGCCCCACGAAACACACGGTTGAATTGTAGAGACTGTGGATCATCAAAATACACTCTTAAAGCCTCATGGCGAAAAGACCTTGAATGCCGTGGAAACCATAGATCTGAATATGACTTACCTTTAGTATAACACAAGCATATATATATATATATATACACACATGCATATGTACATAAACAAATACATATTATGTATATATATATATATATATATATTGTCTGTGTGTACACAGGATTTGTTCATGATGTATATAATACCCAAAAACCTCAATGCATTCTAAATTGAACACGAAACCGTCTGCAGCTTGCAGATGAGAACTGTCGGCTGGCAAGTTCTCCCTGTAGCCGCCTTGTGGAGAGGTCCCCAGATTTCCGAAAGAGCTCTGAAACACAAAACGTGACATTAAACCCTAAACCTTAAGGACGAAATGATCCCCAANNGTTCATATACTATATTGGGATTCATAGCTCATAGTATAAGGGTATAGGGCCCCTACTTATAAGGGTCATTTGGTCCCCAAGGAACTTCCTGCACAGAAATTAGACCTCGAACCACATGCCTCGCCTGGAGTGTGCGAGTGTGAGCAAAGCGTAAACCCTAACCCCGAGAGTGGCGCATAGGGGTTTTAGGACTGCAGGGTTGTGTTGTTTAAGGCTTTGGCGGTTTGGGGCTTCGGGTTGAGCTGAGGGTTGTCATCATAGCATTTCAAGAACTGGGTTGTGGTGATCCCCAATTCGAGTAGATGAGTTGTGCAGAAAGCTCCGGTCGATGCTCCCACGGATGCACCCAACATCCGCAAGTCTCGGTATGCTGAGAGAGATATCGCCGGGTTGATAGGAGGGTAGGGGGGGCTTATCCGTCTTCTGGGGCCTGTTGTGGATTATACAACAGCTATTTGGGAATCATGTTTGACATAGAGAATTGAGCCAGTTTTCGGGAGGATGGGACCCCTCCGTTGGTCGTAGATGTACGCGCAGTGAGAGGAAAGCCAGGTTTGAAAGTGGGCTTCTGAAACGCTAGACTAGATTGCATCCCTACGAAGTCTCCGGCCTAAGAGGAATTATGCATGTCTCATCATGTTTTAGCATCGAAGTCTGGCCGACTTCAGAGTTCAAAGGACATGCCGACTGCTCGTTAATGCTACCAGTACTATACATTGTTTCTGCTTTGCCTACCTTGCTCGGCTGCCTTGTCCAGCCAGCGGCAGACTGCTTGCCATGAGTTTCGTCATGCTTCCTCCGATTGCTGCTTCCGCGTGCGCTGTAAATCTGAATCGCATGTCTGCTTGTTCCACGTGGGAGCTTTGGATTCTCAATCTGCAGCATCTCAGCCCAACAACCAGCACCCGCAGTGTTGCAAAGTCTCTCCACATGTGCCTGTAGTTTGTTTCCGGTCTAAAGCCCTGTTCTCCCCGTTAGGGCTACTTGCATTTTGGATGCCCGATCCCTAGCCTTAGGGCCAATGTACCCAAATAGTATATACTTTGGCCCAAGAGTACCTATACAGGGCTTCCTTTAAGGCCAACGTATATACTACTTGGGTACATGGACCGTTAGGGCAAGACTGCTGAAAGCGAGATGAGAATCCGAAGCTCCCACAGCTTGGCCATGTGCAACAACAAACGTGGCGAGGCTGGTTCGGACTGGTGCCTGCAATGATGTTCCGCTCTGCAGACGTAGTATATGTCAGCTTAAACAGTTAGAGCGGGGTATATTGTAGTATATATATATATACACACACACACACACACATATATATATATATATATGTGGAGAGAGAGAGAGGGAACACAAAGGAATACGATTACTAACAGTTGAATCCCTTCTATTGAATCCTACCCCAGGTCCCAAACCCAGAAGCCTGAACGTCCAGCATTCCTGGTAAGCACTTAACACCACCGGTGCCCTTCTTTATGCTGCACCGAGGGCGTGGTCACGAATAGGTTAGTTCGTAGTTACATCTGTTTGAAAGTTGAACCTTTTACTTCCTGGGTCGTGCGGGAACTGAGTGCTGCTCCCGCGCGATGCTGCCAAGCCTTGTCGGATGCCTCCCGCTGCCACGAAGAACTGCAGGCAGGGGCCCAGGACAGACGAAAGCAGGAGTTATATGGAATGGTTTCGGCTTGGAGTATTTATCGCTAGCATTCTCCCGGATAGGACGATGCTCTGACGCATTGAGCTCGGCACCTGGGCCATTCACATTTGGGAAATTAGGCGGTGTCTTAATTAGGGGCCCCTCTTTGGAGGACGTCCCTCCATTAAGGGGCTCTTTGTTCTTTTTGCTTTTGTTGGATGTTTCTGGGACTCCTGTTTAAAGGGGTTGACGGCGTTGTGTCGCCTGCCGTTGATCTTCTTGCGCTACTGGCTACACTGAGACAGCACTAACAGTAGCAATAGCAGTCTCAGTAGCAGTAGCAGCAGTAGTATAGCCGTAGCACTGGCAGAATAGGTGTAGCTTTGTTGCTCTTCAGATCACTGAATCACAAAACGAAGCCAATCCCACAGCTCTCAACCGGTCGTGGCCTGTCCTTTGCCTGCATTCCTGTAAGAGCATTTTGCCCACGGGTGTTTGTTCAGCCATCTTCTATATACAACCTAACCCTTACACCCTAAATTGTACATCCTGAATCCTCCCTAAGCCCTAAACCCTAAACCCCAAACCCTAAACCGAAACCCTAAACCGTTCTTCTTAGTCAAAGTCTGAACGAGATCGGCCTCACGTCGGTTCGCCAGGAGAGAGCCACTCGGCTTGGCAAATGTTTGTTAGGATCCTAACTATCGGCAAGACTATGCGAGGCAAACTAGGGGTCTTCAAAAAATCGAGTGGGTGTTTTGGTGTATCCAGTACAGTAGAACTGGAGTAGGTACCCCAAAGAGGATTGGTAATTGTTCAGTTGCTGGGGTCCCAGACCAGGTCAGGTACATTTACCCTACAGTATTCCTGTGCTGGAGCTAAAAACCCTAAACCCTAAAAGCCCTCCAAACCAACCTATTGTCCGAGTGTGAGAGCCGAAACCCACTTACCTCCAGTAGTCCTGAGATGACCACTCCTTCATGTTGCATTCGGAACCCCTAGAGGGTTCGATCAGAGCAACTAGGCCTTAATAATTAGAATATGGCTTTAGGGTATATCATACTATACTTATACCAATAAGGGACACCCCCGCCCCCTCCCAAAGTAGTATAGGTAATTGTTTGGAGCTAAGCCATGGTTCCGGGTCTGAAGTTTATGGAAGAACTGGGCCCCCACAGCGTCCCTGACGTAGTTTCAGGGCCAAGGTGTGTTTTTTTGCCACTTTGTGGCGCTCAGGGTTGTAAGGATTGCAGGCTTATTGTATCCATGGCGTTTACGGATCACCCGTGGTGCCTCTGAATGCCGCATTTGAACGGATGTGAGCCAGGGTTCAGCCCACAGGTTAATGAGTGCAGGAGGTGAGGAGCAGGGGAATACACGATCTGTGCTGCACTTGCAGCATTGAAGCCTGGCTCATGTAGAAGGGTGCGACGGTGCATGTCGCACCCTGTCGTCACAGCACATCCAAGCCCCACAATGATCCCTTACTGCAAGCTTAGTGCAGCCCCAAACCCTATGCAGCCCAATGTGGGTCGTAGTGCAGCATTTCGTCTCAGGAGCTGCATTGCATGCAAAATCGCACTGTCCCCGAAGCCCAGAAATAGCAAGATCAAACCCAGAAGTTCTGCAAACCCTGAGTCCTTGCTGACACAATTACTGTGAGAAGCTTGGGGAGCCAAAAAACAAATCTGAGGAAGGTTTGCAGCTCACACATAGTCTGTGCCTGAGCCTTTATAGCGACAGCAACAGAGGAGGAGATGTGGAGGCTTGGACATCGATCATTGCCTACCTGCCGGTTTTCGCAGATCTCAAGAAGAGAGTGCATATTGGCTGACCCCGCCCGGCAGAGATTGACAAGTTTTGTGGGTTCAGGTACACGCAGTCTTCTAGCTAGCTTAATCATACCCGAAACCGCGTACCTTAACAAGTTCATCGAAACCATGAGCCCTTAAGGCCTTAAGGAGTCTTGCAACCCAGAGGCCCCACAGCAGTCAGCATCGAGCTGCGCAGCCTGTCATACAGCTGCGGATTCGATGCTTCAGTACGAATCAGGGTCACAGATTACTTCATCTACTACCTTGATTTCATGATTCCTGATAGGAAAATAGTGTGAAGAGACTGCTACAAAACTGCGACCCCTGATTCATGTCGACAGTTTCACCTTGCCTTCTGGAACTGCCAATTGCCTGCTCTTCAGATCACAAAAGACTCGCAGGCGGACATCTCGAAATCCAAAGCCCATAGCCCTAGTCCCAGCATCTAGAGTCAACACTCTCAATCGAAGCCCGAAACCCTATAGACCCCATGGCAAGAAAACCCATAAATTCGAAGACCTCGAAAACCACCAGACGCCAGAACCCCTCTTGAACCCCCGGGTCGCTGCATGAAGTGGAGGTCCTGACGAGGCGAATGTAGACCCTTGACAGATGAACCCCTTCTCCTTTAATGAGGAATCTTATCGAGATCCTGATATCACAATCAGGGGTCCACATCCTTCGGAAAGTTGAGACTATCTAGTATAGGGGCCTTGTGTGTCAGAGTATGGTCGGAGGAAGAGTATCACTAAGTTTACTGCTTTTGTGCTATCATCTATCACCTGCGGCTCCACAGCCTGCACGCTGTGAGCTATACTCCACGGCCCACAGATCCCGCCAACATCTTGGCCTGCATGCCGGGAAGATCCTTCAAGCCAAAACCAACATGCGCAGAATCGTAAAGACCATGCAGGCTTCATGGAAGTTTGGGTTTAGGCTTCATAGGGACCACCCGCACCCTGAACTAACATCGAACCCCAAACAGACTAGTCGTATGCTCGGATGACCCCCCCCCCCCCCCCACCCTACGGCCCGACAGCCAGAACACCGCAACCCCCGAGCCCCCCGAACCCTGAGGCCCTGAAGCCCCCAAAGCCCCCAAAGCCCTCGAACCCTGAAGCTTCCGAACAGCAAAGACACGTTGAGTTCCTGAGCAGAATATGTGGGTTTAGGGTTTAGGGTTTAGGGTTTAGGGTAGGATTTAGGGGCAGAATATGTGGCTTGAATTCCTGAGCACGGAAACCCTCTAAAGTCCCAAACCTCTGAGAACAAGCGACGGGGGCTGGAGCCTTCTTCTAACCTTGCAGGAAAAAGCCTAAAGCTACCCTTGTGATGAACCTTATGATGCTAGCACTTTAAAGTATCTCAATCAAAGACTTTTAAGCACCCTGAAGCCTAAAGCCCCCTCGTGGCATGGCCTTCTCTGCCTTTGTCACGGCCTTGCGAGCGCTCCGGGGGCATGGTGATGTCTCGCAGAGGTCGGGTTCTTGTTCGGCGTTCCCTAAAACTCCAAGTATACAAATACTACTTACTTTGCAGTCTAAGCGTTATAAATCGTCGCTACTTTGCGCTATTTGGAGTCTTAGGGTTCTTCTATAGGGCTCAAAGTGTTGAATATCGGGTTAAGGGTATTGGTGCAGGAAGTCCATGGAGACACACTTTAGGGTGCACAAGTCGAAAGGGTTGTTTGGTCAGGGTTTGAGGGTCCTTGATGAGGAACTTAGTGTAAGCCACATAACCTTAGTGGTCGGGGTTGCTCAAGGGTGTTATAGAATTCTGGGCTACAGGGTTTGTCGGGTTCTCGGGTTTAGGGTGCAAAAATTTTAGAAATGTGGTGGAAGTTACCAGAAGAAAAGGACCGGTGCCCGGAGAGCTCACGAGGTCGGTGGGTGAAGCCTGGCTCTTGGGCCTTGAATAGTTGCCAACACCATTCCAGAGGGTGCCTTGTTACAGTTATACGACGATAGTCACATTCTTAGTATGATAAACTTAGGCAAGGGGGCTTAAGGGTTTAGGGGCAGTTGAGGCTGTAACGGCGTCGTGTATTGCGACGCCCGCCGGGTTTTTGGCAAGTTAGAGTCTCGACCTAATGAAGCGACAGGAAAGCTGCCAACTTGACATGGCCCAAATCCAACAACCTTGCATTGAGCCCTACATGTAAACCAAGGGTCTTGTTGGTTCAACTTCGAGGTTTGTGAGAAGCTGCAGCTCAAAGCCCAAGCACTACTCCTGAGCCAGAAACAAGCTCTTAACCCTCAACCCTAGAGCCCACCTCCCACGTTCTCTGACACAGAGCCCAGTACCCCTCAATGCAGGAGCCTATTGCTGTCTATGCTAACACGGAGCCTTACTACAAAGCTCATGTATATTCCGATTATATTCCTCAATAAAGTATAGTGGGAAAAATTGCATTTTTGAACATAGAGCGAGAAGTATCGCGAGCCACTTGGATCCAGGTTGGCTGAACTGCTCCTTGCAGACGTGAACAGGCGCGTGCGTGCACGCGGGGGGGGGGGAGGGGGGCTGCAATATCACGGATACAGTGTGCGTCAGGGTTCCATAGCATACAGAGAGAATCACATGCCTGGAAACTTATTCTTATCGTCACGGGCTCCTTTTCGGATTTAGGGTCAGGGTCTGGAGCTTCTACTTCTTATAGGGTTTATAGGGCTCAAGGTTTGGGGTTCAGGGTGGAAGTGATGCTTATTTGGTTGTCGTCACACCGGTATCTTTTGGTGCACCAGCCATGTTTTGTTGTTGCGAGAGAGTGGAGTGAGGTTTTGGGGCTGGCATGGGTCGAAAAATTGAGGGGAGAAAGGGTTGAGGGCTGGCGCCACAACAAGAAACGGCTAGTGTGCTGCATGGGGTCTGAAATAAGGTTGGAGGGGCGACTATAATAGAATAAACCTCCAGACCGGGGGGGAAGGAGGGGTGAGGGGGGACAGCAAAGACTTGCAGGGGCCAGCGGCAAGGGGCCCGGAGCCAAACAGCAGCAAGAACAATCACCTCATGGAGTCTTTTTCTCAGACTTGAGGCTCTTTATTCGGGGAGACCACCGAGGAGGAAGGTTTCAGCAGGTGGGGCCATGTGGCTTGAGGATAGTTAGAGCTGCTAGGGTATATATCGACCTGAATTCAATCAACAGCCCTATTCACTTTGTGGTCCCTTTATCACTATACTGCTACTTCGAATCGTTACGGCCCCTACATGATGTTTCGGGGTGGCATTTAAACCATGCCCCTAAGACTCCGAGCATAGAAAGAGTAGCTGCATTGGGATCTAAAGTCTATGAGTTGTGAGGAGCCTGGGTCTGGCGTGTTAGTCCTTTTCAGCGCGCGTTCCGTTAGAAACGGCCTTTAGAATACCTACTTTGGGCTAACTTGGGGGTCTTAGGGTACCAAGCTACATCCCCATGGGCCTTCACCTTAAAACAAACCCTAAGTAAGCCCTCCATCCCTTAAGCCGAAATTGTAAGCCCCAAGCCCGAGACCCTTCAGGCTGGGCGTCGAGAGATCGAAGGCTCTCCGCAACTTCGCGGCCACAGTTCTTGAGGCGATCTTTTCTGAATATTTTGAGCTTTTCCTCTGTAGTCCCTAGAAAATATGGCTATAAGTGGCTGTAATATACCTCGCCCATGACCTGTTCTAGTCATTCAGGCAGTAGGGTCTGGAGATTGTCTGTTTGCGTGCTGGAGGACGGTGCAGGCGCCGAATGGGTTACCTGTGTTGAGAGCAGCAGCTCACGATTGGTGCAAAGACAAGCGCTGTTTAGGGTTTTAAGATTTTGTTTAGGGTTTCTACCAGTGGTAGACAGTGCATCTTTGCAAGAAGTCGGGTGCACACTCAACAAGAGCTGAAGCAAAGCTACTGCAACTCCGATAAGACAGGCACCAAGAAGTCAGAAGTCTCCCGGGTATTATAGGGAACATCCCCAAGTGTACGGCGTGCTTTCATATGCTTGCTTGCTCATCGCTCCGAGGTTACCAGTGCAGATTTTGCATCAATGGCAGATCCTGGGTACTTTGCCGGCTTTTCGAATTGAAACTCTGTTAGCTCTTGTAAAGCCTGGGAGGAAGCTGGTAGGCTTTGCAATGCCTCACAGAGATAGGCGGAAGGAGTGGCATACAAAGTCTCAACATCAGAACCCCACCTGGCAGCTGAAAAACCAGTAACCAGCTCGCTCCCACAGGAGTCGAAGGAGGCGGGTGCGGGGCGATCTGTTTTCTTGGGCAGGTTTGGAGCCACCTGAAAGCTTTTCAGGGCCGCTATGCCGTGAATGCGGTGGATCATTCGGACTTTGGGTCACGGAACTAGGCACGCTCCTGCTTTGTAGCGATGCCTGATGACCTTCGTTGAGCATTGTCTGCCTGTGTTCCAGACCCTTCACTGAAACCGGGAAGCAGTAAAGGGTTTAGGGGTTTGGGGTTTAGGGTTTAGGGGTTTGGGGTTTAGGTTTAGGGCCTTGGGCATTGGGGGCGTGTCAAGGCAGGAAGGATGAACATGGTCCCAAGCGTCTCTGATCATCCTGGCCTGCACGAGTTTTGAGTAGACGACTCAGCCGGTAAATCCGACCATCTGTCTAAACTTAAGCCGCCGAATCCCCACATCCCCAACCAAACTAAGCAAACACTTTCTTGACCTTAAACCCTAAAACCTCGATTTATAGACGAAAACCCTGAGGAATGAATCCGGCAGGAACCTTTTGCCCAAGACGAGAATTCTAAGGAGCAAATCCGACGAGAATCTTCTGCCCAACAGGAAAACGCTGAGGAAAACCCTCCTTAGGGCGAATCCAGCAGGAACCTTTTCCCCGAGACGAACACCTTATGCAGTGAATCCAGCGTAAGGAATGAATCCAGCAGGAACCTTTTGCCCAAGACGAGAGAACCGTAAGGAGTAAATCCGAGGAGAATCTATTGCCCAAGAGGAAAAACCCTGAGGAAAACCCTGAACCCTGGAGCCGGGCAGGGGCACCGTAGCCTCATTTTACACTGCGTAAGGGACCCTGAGTGTGCCCTGGATGCAAAAGCGGCGTGCGTGCGCCTTGGATGCATATCCGAGTGCGCCTTGGATGGCGTCAACAAAAAACCCTAAACCCTAGACCCCTAAACCCCTAAACCCCTAAACCCCTAAACCCCTAAGCCCCTAAGCCCCAAACCCTAAACCCTAGACCCCTAAACCCCTAAACCCTAAACCCTAAAACAGATACCCAGAAGCAGGTCGAAGAGGATTGGGAGCTCGTGTCAGATGTCTCCTTGGCTCCTTGGCTCGGGATGTGAGACTGCAGGTTTCAAGGCTGTAGGATGTCGGTGATCTGCGAAGCTGCAAATCTGGCCTAAACCCCTACAGGCAAACGTCTCCATGTATGTATGTATACATGTAGCAGCACCGGGTTCTTCTAACTTACGAGATTTCCAGGATTGTCGGTCGACTTAAATTTCAAGTTTTCGGCATGCTGGCCACCGTAGGGGACCGAGGAATGAGCCATATTATTCCTCGGAAATTTAAAAGGCCTTGGGGCTCCCGAATACTCATCCCTAGTTATAGTATAACAATGTATACCGGACTTTATTCCACGTCATACCGGCCCCTGCATTAGCGCCTATAAACTTCAATATATGCCTTGCAAGCTCTTTTCTGAAGCAACAGCTAGTCTCATCATTAACGCCCCTTTTACATCATCCTCCTCTCCTTAAGCCCTAAACCCTCCGTTCGCTCGCTAGGAGACATTTGCGGCTGATTCCGGAAGCTCTCAACCATGGCTTGCCACGCAACTTGCCCTGACACCGGTGGAGAGTTTAGATTTCGTTAGGGTTTGGGGTTTAAGGGTTTGGGGGTTCTGGGGTTCAGGGGTTTGGGGGTATAGGTATAGGGTTTCAAGTCAACTAGCTCTGGTGTCTGTTCGGGGAGGCATGCGTGCCTGACTGGCTTAACAAGTGGCACGAGTTTGTATCCAGCTGGCAGCAATCGGTTGAGAGACAATTAATCGCATTGGCCATTGACCTCGTACAATTTCCTAAGCCCAAAACCATAAACCCCAACCCCAAGCCCTACCTCTTGCAGCATGCAGCGACCCTGAGCAGTAGGACCCCGCTTCGAGCGGTGCGTCCGTACACCCACGGCGCACGGCTGCGCCAAGACTCGCAACACTCTTCAACCCGATAGCTCGAAACCCTACGCCCACCCTAAAACCCGAAAGCCGGAGTTGCATCGTAAATCCGCAGCTCTCGATCTTGCAAGTTGGACGCAGGGTGCGATCTCTGCTGCTGGCGCAATGCCGGACGCCGGGCGTCTCGTCAGCAGGACATGCTGCACGCTCCACCGGACTCAAACATGCGCTTTTTCCGAACTCCAAACAAAATTACACCTTGAACCCTAGCCGCGGCCTGTAGAGCTTACATCGTTCGGGACTTCAAGATCTGGGAGTTTGGCTTGGGTTCGTGGCTAGGACCTAGGAATACCTTCAGCCTTCTCGCGGCATTTGTCAAACCTTCCTCTGCGTTTTGAAACCGGAAGCTCGAACTCGCGACATTGGATGACATTCCGTTTCAGGCCAATACCACAAAACGTAATTCTTTCACAGCAGATGTGCATGTTACTGTGTTTTCGGTTTTCTTTGACCTCCAGCGTATTCCAGCGTGGGGCCATGGGTTTACGCAGCTGGTGCTTGCGACGCTGCCTCCATTGTCGCGCGTAGGTCCACCCCTAGAGCAGCTTTTTCGCATGATGATGCATGCATTGTCCCGTGGTGGGCCGGGGCTTGCGGCAGATGCTGCCTCCATTGTTGCGACTTGGCCGAGCGCTTGCAACAGTTCACTGAGCATGCTGCCTCCATAGACCCGCAGTGGGTCAGGGCTTGCGCAGCTGATGCTCATGATGCTGCCCCCATTATCTGGGCTTGTGCAGATGATGCTGATGATGCTGCTGCCTTTGCCGTGTGTTGGGCCGGGGCTTGCGCGGCTGATGCTTATGATGCTGCCTCCATTGCGGCGCCTTGGCCCGCTGATGCTTATGATGCTGCCGCCACTGTCCGAAGTTGGGCCAAGGCTTGTGCAGCTGATGCTGATGATGCTTGTTCCTTTGCGCTGCATTGGGCTGGGGCTTGCGCAGCTGATGCTCACGATGCTGCCTCGACTACGCCTTGGCCCCCTGCTGATGCTGATGATACTGCCTCCTGCGTCCCAAGTTGGGTTACGCCGCTGATGCTGATGATGTCTCTTCAGCCCTGCGGTGGGCCAAGTTTTCAGGGGTGATGCTGATGATACATTATCCAAAGTCTTAAGTTGGGCCAAGGATTGTGGAGCTGATGCCGATGATGCTTCCTCCGTTTTCCGAAGTTGCAGAAGCTTGCGCAGCTGATGCTCATGATGCTGCTTTGATTGCTCCTTGTTGGGTCGGGGCTTGTGCCACAGCTCGCAGCTGATGCTGATGATGCTGCCCGCATTGTTTTTGTAGGGTGGAGGCTTGTGCAGCTGATGCCGCTGATGCTGTCTCCTGTGCCCGGTAGTGGTCCGCGGCTAGTGGCCATGCTTACCATGGCTCGGGCAGCTGATGTCTTGCATTGTCACGAGTTTAGCCGGGGCTTGCGCAGCTGATGCTGCCCCAATTGCCTTGTGTTGCCATGTCTCGCGGAGCGGTGCGATGATACCTCGACTGCTTCGTATTGGGCCATGGCTCCCGCCACTGATGCTGTTGTTGCTTGTATTAGGTAATCATGAGCCTGTGTTGGATCAGCGCTTGCGCAGCTGAGGATAATGATAATCATGCCTGGGTCTAGCGGCTGGCGTTGGTGGTGTGATTGACATGCCATCTCCATGGTACCTGGCGCTCTGAACTCTGAACTCTCCTACCATGAAGCAAGACTCGGAATTCCAAGGCCTCGGCCCATTCACCCTGACCCTAGCCTACACCCTAAATCCAGCCCGAAGTCTGAACCGTGCACCTCGGAATCCTCTACAAAGCCCCTCCCTACATCCTGAATCCTACGCCCTACGCCCTTTTTTGAAACATAAACCTAAACCCTCCCGGGCCCCACCCCTGGGAACGCGAAGCCTCGTCGACCCAGGTGGGGCCTTTTGCGAAGCTCAGGCGACCGGGGGGGGGGGGGGGAAAAAGG